ACACTTATAAAGAAATACAGATTGAAATGCAACATTGATCAATAAAACAAAAGTATTGTATAGCATAAAACAATCACACAGTAGGTTAACATCAACGCAGGCACTTGCTGTGTCACGTGATGACCTTCTTAGCCAATTTCATTCTAACTCATTACCACTAGTTTTACACTTCTTGGAATTCATGGTCAATAAACCTTATTTATATGAAATTATACCTACTTATTGAGTTAAAAAAAAGAAGAAAGGAAAGGACAATTTTAATTATTTATTATTTTGACTATAGTTAAGATCAAAGGAATATATGCTGATTGACTACCAGAGACTGGTATATGGTATATACAAAGTTTAGTCATGGTACTATTTTGAAACCATTTTCTTATTTTTAGCAGAATCCGACTCAGAAATGTCCTAACGACAAAACGTTTGTCATGTGCATGACTTGCTGGTCTTGTATCCAGATAATCAAATCAAATTACCTTTAGGATGATATGGAACATCTTTAGGGGCAATGTAGTCGTGGCTTCTTTATCAAATCGGTTTACTTGAGCGAGAATCAACAGACCCAAGTATGCCTGCAGACCTGTTCTTACTCCTCAGACTTTACAAATCAGACTTTATAAACTTTCGTTGTTGTTATAAAAGGCAAAGCAAAGGTGTGACCAAGATACACTGTAACTTTGAAGTTTTGTGTGTGTGTGCGTTCATCTGCTGGAAAACACATTAGTGTTGCCCATTGACCCACAACTGGGTAAAAATTGACCACAAATGTTTAAAAATAAATTTGAACAAAATACCCACAATTCAAGTAGTTTTGAGATAGATAATTTTGTTTATTTGCTAAAAGCATAGCATGGAACCATCCATGTTATTATGGTGCAATTAGCTGAAAGACAACCATATTTTCATTATAAAAACATTTTACAAAGGGGTCAAATTTGACCAGTGGAAAACTGGAAGGTTAGTCTTTCTTTATCAGGCCTATGCAAGGGTGTTAGTAACATTGTATTAAAATCCCTAAGGGCCCCATTGTCATGAGCAGTATTATTTCTAAATTATGGACTTTTTTAAAATATTAAAGCTAGTGTAGGCAATTTTTTAGAAGCATTATATTCATTAAAGTTCCCTTTACAGAAACTCTTTCTTTAGTGGTGCTGGGTAAACTTTTTGTTTGCAGCATGTAATTTGGCTAATTTCTTGCTTTTATGTATTTTGTGATTGGTTTAACTTTTTGTTTGGGGGGGGGGCTTTAGAGGTGACACACACTTACAAATTGTAGATGATGTACTACATGATGCTGTCAATTAAGAATCATTTTTAAACATGCGAGTTATTCAGACCAATTTTCCCAACTTTAAACCCACGTGATATAATACTGTATACTATGATTAGTGCCAAAAGAAATGTCTGCACTTACTTGCTGTAGTATGTCTGTAGTATGTCTGTAGTCATAGTAAAGAATAGTTCTGTTCAATGAGTTTAAGTTAAAGTTTGATTTCATATTATTTTATAGTTTGATCAGTGGAAGTGTGTCAAATTAAACAAGTATATTCAGTGGTGGAATGTAACAACATTTACTTCAATATTGTACAACATTGATTGCCCTCATATGGCTAAGACTGCATGTAAACTCCACACAAATTAGAAATCTTGAACACTTACAATAAAATGAATCAGGTTTTGATGGATTTCTTCTTTATTTTCATTTTATGGTACATATACTGTTACATATACTTGTACTTCACTACATTTCAGAGGCAAATATTGTTGTTTTTAGGCTACTACATTTACTTGACAACTACAGATTGCTGATTAAAATGTGACATACAATCTCGTCCATATCTTAATTTAAGTCTATTGAGCCCCATTTACATCTGTCCTTTTTCCTTATTGCCATATGAACATTCAGCTCCTTAATTTGTGTAAACATACTCAAATCTAGTTTCCTTCAAGGATTGAAATAATTACAAGTTTTCCCTCACTTGTCCATATCTCTACTGTTACATATCCTTGCTCATTTTCTAAACTCACCTCTCTAAATGCAATATCTTCACTAATAAATGTTGCTTCAAATCATACTTAAATGTAAACTTCCAGCTGGTGAGTTGCAACATTAAAATACCTCTTGCATGTTGTAACTTGACACTCTAAAAATAACTATAACCACAGCATTTCATTGCAGACGTTCCTTTAGGCACTAATTATAGTATGCACTACCAGCACTTGAGTTTTTATTGCTTGTAGTTTACATAAACCTCTAACACGTCAAATTGGGAATATCAGTCTAAATAACTGAAAATTTTAAAATATATTTTTGTTAACAGAACTGTGTAGTCAGCATCTCCAATTTGTGTTTGTGTGTCACCTCTAAAACCCTAAACAACAATTACATCAAGTTGATAAAACTACAAAGTACACCAAAAAATAAAATTAAATGATATGCTGCTGACAAAAAAGAAAAAAAACTAGATAAGTGTTTCTCAGCTTCAACATAGGGCTGGGCAACAAAATAATGATAATTATCACAATATAATATTGTTCAATAATAATATAACAAATGTTCAATAAACATTCAATAAATGTTTGACTTAATTGAATTAATTTGAATTAAGAACAATTTAGCACTTAATTTTTCTATGAATATATTTATTTTGTTGAGGAAAAGAGACTTTCACTTAATTTTACTCATGTTATTTGTTGAAAAAAAAATGTCATAATTGTTTTGAATGTTGTTCCTCAAATTTGTTAAGTGATTGGCAAGTGTTTTTCATGTTCTGACTATTTACAGTCTGGTTTCTTCAACACTCACTCAGGAGCAAAATTCAGCCTTTAAACTTTAAAGAAATAATGATTTGACATTTATCGTGATAATTATCAATATCGAATGATATTAATTTTTTTATACAGATAACATTTTGGGCCATATTGCCCAGCCCTACTTCAACATCAGATAGATTACAATCCGCTAATGAGTGAGGTAACGAGTAAAAGTTGTAAAAAGTATTAGTAAGAATGTATTTAAAGAAAAACAGTCAGTTTGGAACAAACTCCTTTCACTATAAACTTCTTTATACTAATATATCGTGACCTCTTGTCAATAGGAAATTGTATACATACAGCTACAGAGATGTAGCTATTGTAAAAGTGTATTTCATTCAGTAGGTGAAAACATAGGTGAAAACATACTTTTGGATCAAAATTACTGCTAGACACAATTCAACAGTTCAACATCATGTCCTTTTTCTGAGATACTGTATATTTCCTGCAAACAACAACCACATTCTCTTAATTTCTGGTACCAGACAATGTTCTTAAAGACCAGATATTATAAAAAGATGGTAAGTATAGTATAATATATAACAGAATTTATGAACATATATAGCAACATATGTAATCAGTCCAAAGAGACTAAATGGAGGAGGGACAGTTGGATACCAATGCTATTTTTCACTTCTTCTCACCACTGTGGACTCTTTTCATGTGGACTGTCAACTGACCACTTTGTCTGAAAGCTTTCCCACATGTTGTGCAAGTATACGGCTTCTCACCTGTGTGGATTCTCATATGCCTTTTCAATGACGATATGTCACAAGACGTTTTTCCACAGGTCTTGCAAAGGTAAGGCTTCTCACCTGTGTGCATTCTCATATGCCTTTTCAAGGACGACATGACATAGAATGTTTTTCCACAGGTCTTGCAAAGGTAAGGCTTCTCACCTGTGTGGGCTCTTCTCATGTGAATTATCAAGTCACTACTAACTCTGAAATCTTTGCCACATGTCTCGCAAGAATATGGCTTCTCACCTGTGTGGATTCTCATATGCCTTTTCAATTCTGACATGTTATAGGATGATCTTCCGCATGTCTTGCAAAGGTAAGGCCTCTCCTTTGTGTGGGTCGTGATGTGACGTTTCAAGTGAGAGTTAACTCTGAATTTTTCCCCACATGTTTTGCATGAATATGGCATCTCACCTGTGTGGATTCTCATATGATTTGACAAGGTTGATAATTGACGGAATCTTGTACCGCATGTCTTGCAAAGGTAAGGCTTCTCATCTGTGTGTGTTCTCATGTGACGTTTCAGGACAATGCTAGCTCTGAAATCTTTCCCACATGTTTTGCATGAATATGGGTTCTCACCTGTGTGGGTTCTCAAGTGGACTTTGAGGGCAGAGCCATATCTAAAATCTTTCCCACATGTTGTGCATGAATACGGCTTCTCACCTGTGTGGGTTCTCATATGTCTCTGCAATTCTGACTTAAACTTAAAAGCTCTTCCACATGTATCACAATTTAAAGAATTTTCACCTGTGTGACGATTTTGGTGAATCTCTGACCTGGTAGAGTTGTATACATTGTTACTGTGACTTCTGTTTTTGTGATGTCTTTTCTTTGGTTCTGGTTTCTGATCTTGTCTCTCAGCTACATGAGAACTGTGAGAGAGGAGCTGGTGGTCTCTGTTTGGTTCTGGTTCACTGTGGTCACTTTCCTCATAAGCAGGAATCCACATAAAGACATCAGTCTCCTGCTTCAGTACCAGCTGCTCTCCCTCCTGACTGCTGCAGGGTTCCTCCTGTTCCTCTTTAATCTGTGGAGGCTCTGGGTCCTCCTGGTCCAGACTGGAGTTCCTCTCCTGAACACAGAGCTGCTGGTCAGCGAGAAACTCCTCCTCTGTATAGACATGTTGCTGTGGGAGCTCTGGAGGGCCAGAGAACAAAAGATAGGATACTACTGTGATGATAAAGATAACCTGCGAGCAAAAGGTTTACACAACTCTTCCACTGTTGGAGGACAATACATTGTATTATAGTATTATAAGCTCATTATACGATTTGTTTTAATCTTAACCTGCAAAGTAACAACAGCTGTAAAATAGATGTTTCTGAGTAACGTAAGGTGGTGACGAATTAAAACACTGCATACACGTTTACAATTGTGTAATTACAATTTGTATAAATGCAAGCAAACAGACATCATTGGGCCTAAAAATATAATCAGCATTACTTCGTTTTCGGTTTTTTCTGTGTAACTGTTCAGGTTTCCAAGCGATATCCAGCAGTCTGCGCTGACGATCGATCTCTTCCTCGTACTGGACCAGAGTTTTTCTAAAAACTCCTAATATTTCTTTATCAGCAGCAGTTAGTCGCTCGTTAACAAATTCTCTCAGATACTCAACCGAAGACATTGTTGCTTAGTTGCAAATTAAATATTTAGCTGTGCTACGACTACAATGGCTACCGTCTTCCAGCTAATTCAACACACGCACGCAGCTAACGCTACAAGCGGCCGCGTTGTTTACTTCCGCTGGATGTCTCACTGTTACGTTCCGACAGTGGAATCGCGGGAGGTTTTGGTTCCGCTTTCAACTGATGGCATTTTATGTGTTTAAAAACAGCAGCATGGGTGTACTGTACATATACCTCGCTTTGGTACGCCTTTCTACTATTTTTAACAGAGAGGTTTTTTTTTTTTTACTTCTCAAGTAATGATTCTGCACAAACAGCAAATAAACAGTGGTCAAACAAATATTCAAATCATATAAGCAGAAATACCACAGTTTAATTCATGACATAGGCCTATTTAAAATGTTCATCCATCCATCGTCAACCACTTATCCTGCGTACAGGGTCGCGGGGGCTGGAGCACCCTGGACAGGTCACCAATCCATCACAGGGCCACACATAGACAAACAACCAGTCACACTCATGTCTAAGGACAATTTAGGATCAGAGCGCCCGGAGAGAACATGAAGAAAGGCCGGGGCAACCGGGGTTTGAACCCGTGACCTTCTTGCTGTGAGGACACAGTGCTATCCACCATATTTGCAGATCTTGCAAGCTTCTCTCCTGTGTGGGTCCTTATATTGATTTTACTGTAAAATAACATAAGTAGGCTTTTATTAGCAAAATATATATTTATTGTATGAACGGTCAAATTAATCATTAGTCCATAATGTTATTTAAATAGACACGGAAACATGCTTTTGTTATTTTTTCACACGGACATGTTCCGACTGTTGCACATTCCTGGCTCAGGGCCAGTTTAAATCTGACTTCCTTTCCGGCTCCATAATGTTACCTTTCATACAGTGTAACGAGCCGGCATATTGGCACAATACTCCTGGAAAATACTCAGGTAAACTCCAACTGCACCATTACAGTAATATTTTCATCAGCTTAAGATTGAACTAATCCATGCCCAGTAACCAGCGTTATTTGTATGTACTTCATCAGAAGCTCAGCAACGTGAGCACAGCTAAATGTAGGCTAGTGGATGATAACAAAATGGTTAGTGAGCCAGACTGATTATTATTTGTGGCCACACTGCAGTAAATAACAAGACTGTAGGGAATGGGCCTTCCACTGTGTTGTTGTCCTGTGCAACATAACAGTGCAGGACAACAACACAGATGTTTATTGTAAATTATGTGAGTCACGTAAGTCACAGCGACCAAGACGGTGGAGAAGCTGTGTATCTGACCTGTATATCAGTAAAACCACAATAAATCTAAATTGAACGTTACAAAGCAAACAGAAGCGGTGAATACATGCTAATGATAGCTGGCTGACTCTGCTGTGCATCACTATAGGGCAGTGTAAACAAACTGCTCCACTTTTTTTTTGTATCGTTGCATCATTTCCTGCAGGCTAAAATCAACACTTTGACATGAAACTGGTGGTACACGGGATAGTAATATAGATCACATTAGCTAGTGAACTTCACTAGCTAACGTGATCTATATTACTATTTCTAATAGATCTATATACTACTTCACTAAGTGAAGTAATGTGGAAAGCCATACAACTATACTATTTAGCTCGCAGGCTACGCCAACCAGTATATACCACAATATATTTCACTTGCTTTGCAGTAATATTATTTTCCTTGTCCAGTAGGATGAAAGCCAACTCTCTGTTGGTTTTGTTGGTTCCGCAACAAAGCAGAGGTCTCTCTGTGACTCAAGGACTTCTAATGTTGATGGGCTTCAGCACATAAAACTTTGTTGTTGGTTTTTAACTTTACTGGAGTTTATGTTGGAATTTGTGTTGGAGTCTGTGTTGTGCTGGGAGCTGGTTGTTTTATGGTGTTAGTGGACTACATTTTGGTAGTTGCAGTGTTGTCGCTGTAGTCGGAGAGAGACTTAGGAGCATGCATGCAGCTACATCCCAACCCGATTCCTTCACATAAGAAGCAGAATAGTGGCTGTTCCAAGCAACAGAGAAAACAGGTATGTGCTTCATTTCTAAATGATGTTACAGCCTATTGAAAAAAAGCACGTAAAAAAAAAAGATTTATTATTAAGTGATTTCATTGAAAAACTATGTATAGCAGGGTGACCATATTTTGGTTTTCAAAACAGACAATGGGACCAGAAGGCAGACGGACACCCGCAGTGGGTGGAGCTGGGGGGGATTCAAATAATGGTAGCACGGAGGCAATGTGTACTGCATATATTAATACAACATTAAATAAAAGGTTTAATGTTAATATGATACAAATATATATAGGTTTATTTGGATAATGTCAGATTGTTCATAGCAGGCCTATTTCAACAGCTTATTAAGATTCAACAATTGAACTGATTGTCTTGTTAAAGTTAAGTTTTAAAACTTTAGTGGCTTCATTATAATTTCCGATAATAGTATCCTATATATATATATATATCTTACCACTAGTTTAATATTAATTACAGGTACAGCAGTTTCATTATGGTACGTTGTTCTCATTTATTAAATCCTTGTGAATGGTCTCAATAATCAGAACCATTCATGCAGAACGAGTTCAACATTTCTAAAGATTGCTGTACCACATAAACCTTTTTGTATGTCCCGTCCCATCCAGGCTGTGATTTGTGTATTGGTTGGTTCATGAAAAGTGATATGGATGAGCAATTTTATGCACACGCTTGGATAAAAAAAGAACCTGATCTTCTCCCTACTCCGCCTCTGCTGATGGAGAGGGCAGGCAAGAGTACCAACAGCTTGTGAGAAGTGCCGATACGCAAGAAAAAGTCCTGATACGCTAATGAGTAAAATGTAGTTTGTGTTGGTACTGCGTAGGGCTGCAGCTCACACTGATTTTAGTAATCGAGAATTCTACAGACAAGCAAACTGCTGCTCACTTGAAAGCAAAAGCCAAATCCCAGATCCTTTTTCAGGAGTGGTCCAGAAAATATAATAACTATAAACTTTTCAATGTTTGTGCTAGAAGTTCAGCCTTTCTAAATTGTTGACAGGCATAATTCATCCTAGTACCCTCCATTTTTCTGTTAACATTGACACACCATGTGGGAATCCACACAGGTGAGAAGATATACTTGCAAAACATGTAGGAGAGCTTCAGACTTACTGGTCACTTGACAATCCATATGAGATCCCACACAGGTGAGACGCCGTACCTTTGCAACACTTGTGGGAAAAAAGTCTATCATATAAAAACCCACACTGGTGAGAAACTATATGTTGTGGTGGCAGCCGGTGGCAGACGGTGGCAGCCGGTGTGGCAGACGGTGGCAGCCGGTGGCAGACGGTGAGTGTCCTGTTTATTTCGCCTTTTTTCTTTTGATTCTGTTTTTCCCTTGTGTTTTGGTCTGTCTGCCTGTCTGTGTCTCCTCTGCTCCCCTTGCTTGTGTTCCCCCTCTCTCTGTCTCTGCTCCTGAGCCCAGCTAACGATCCACACCTGCACCTCGTCAGCCACCTCCTCTGCCTGCCACACCTGCCAGCAATCAACTCCATCCCTGCCAGTATTTCAACCCCAGTTCTCCAAAGAATCACTGCTGGATTGTTGTTGCTCCTGACCTGGTGCCACTACTTGACTCAGGCTTTTTACCTTGTAACATCCCTGTTCCCTGTTCTCCCGGTCACTAACCCTGTCTGTCTCTCCCCAGGTTCACTCATCTTCCTCTCCCGTTGTGTCAGCTGGGCTCGCTAACCTGACCTCTTCCCTCGGACCTCATCCCACCAACCCCCTGGTCAGTTCTCCCTCACCTCCTCTCTCCCTCGGCCCCCGGTGCCTCCCAGTTCCCTCGTCCCAGCCTCCTTGTTCCCGCCTGCTACTCAGCCCCCCGGTGTTCCTCGGCTCCCTTGCCTTGGCCCCCTCTGCCCTACTTACTGCTCGGTCCCCCATGCCTGTGTTTCCCCGGCATCCACCACTCCCTCAACTCCCTTTTTCCCCTCAATAAAACCTGTTTTACCGGAGCATTGCTTTTGGGTCCTCTTCTGTCCAACACACACAACAATATATACTGCAAGACATCACAAAAGTCACAATAACAATGTAAACAATTCGACCAGGTCAAAACTCAACTATTGTACACACACAAGTAAAGACTCTTTCAAATGTCACACTTGTGGATAGGCTTTTATGCAGAAGTCCAAATTGAATACACACATCAGATTAAAGCTGCAAGCTTGGAAGTGCGTTGAGTAGTGCTGCGGCCATGCGCAGCTCTGGCGACGCATTTCTGAGTTTGTTGACTCTTTGAACGCAGCACGAAGGACTGAAACGTCACTTCCTGTGTGCCCTAGTTGGTGCTAGACAGTACCTGGTAACTATACGTTAAGTCCCAGTATGTAAAGTGCGGAATACATTGTGAAAATTTTATTTAAATCTCATGATGAGTTTCACACAGCACTTTATTCCCGTTGCCAGTAGGTGGCGCTACAACTATAAGACCAAAATTGAAGTGAGCGTTGGGGGCGATGCATGAGATGGGAGCCACGATTTCCTGTTGGGCGGTGCGAAGGCGATGCAAAGGCCTTTGCATGAGTTGAAAATTTTCAACTCCAGCAAGAAAGTTGCATTACGCTGAGTTGCGATAGCCTATCAGCGTAGAGATTATCCGGACATCAAAGATGGATTCAGAGCGTTGTGTGGAGAGGACCAGGCAGAGCGGGGGAATGAAATGCTGCTGGCTGGCGGACAGCTGCTAAACTTGGGGGAGATGAGCCAGCACTGCAGCTTTTGGACAAATCCGTAGTCGGACTGGATCCTGCTCTGACAACTACGCCGCTTACTCGAGGAAGGAGGAACTACTTTTATTAAATTAGCTTTTTACTTTAGTTTTTGGGATTACGTTGATTTATCTTCACTTGAGCTTCTCAGCAGCTAGCTTCTGTGCACATCCGATTCCAGTGTTCATGGCACCCAGAGTTTTGTTGGACTAGTACGTCATATTTATATAAAAACTGACAGACAAAACTGAACATTTCTTGGAGAAAAGAAAGTTGCACTACCTGGTGAGTTCAGAAAACATGTGTATGTAACTTTATTTCAGCTATCGTTGTACTTTACT